TATGTGGTGGCTATAGCATCTGATTTGATACCTATTTCGATTTAGTTACTGTGGATATCTGATTCTGAAATTTTTCATACTTAAATTACACTCTGTGAGATTTAAATCCATGGGTAGAACACTCCATTTGGATATGTGTACGATTTATGGTGATTTTTCAAAGTTAGGGTTTGAAATCTGGAAATAGTGTTAAGCTTTTGGAAGGGTGTCGAGTTCCGTACAATTCTGGTACTGTTCTGCGTAGAATTGGTTCCTAAAACTATTTTTCCTTTAAATTTAACTTAATTATCTTTCAGTGAGACTTAGAAGCACTCAATTTGGATTTTTTTAGATTTAATTATGAATTTTCAAAGTTGAGCAAAAATTCTAGAGATTCTGCGTGAACAGTACCCGCGAACCAAAATTTCCAGATTTGATCTTCTTGAATCTAAAGCCATCTAAAGTGGTCCTAATTGACAAGAAATGGATCATAAGGATGGGAAATGATGAGATTTATGTTAGAAAAGCTAGAAAGAAAACCCTAAAACTAAGAGAAAGGGTTGAGGTTCAAGAAAGCTAGTCTTGAACTTTATGTAATCTAATGGTCCTAATGGATTTTGTCATCATTATGGTTATGTTTAGGACCTTTGGAACATCCAAGAGGATGTTTAGTGATGTTGACCGAATGCCCACATGGTTGGAAAGTCAAGGGAGTCAAAGGAAAAGTAAGAGGAAAGCTTGAGGTGCAAGGTAGTGAACTTACCTATTGTCATTGCTTGATGTAGTATGCTTGTGTGTTGCCGTGTACATGTTATTTGCATGTTGTTGTGACATGTTTTAGCTACTGTAATTGCTATTCATGATGAGTAGATTATGTCTCCATGGCCATGCATCAAGAAGTTAGCTTTGAGCATGCTAGTGTGTCACTAATTAACAAGAGAATAAACAAGTTGTGTGTAGTGCATTAGCATCCATCTAGCAAGATTATGTGGTATTGTTTGCTACTGAGATTCCCCCGAATCTCACCCCCTCCCTAACCAACCATTTAGGTCAATCAATGATGGGCACTAATGGCATGAGAAGCAAGGAGAAGAAGTGGAGAATTATTAATGCAAATGATTGATATGAATATTCAATGTATAATTCTCCTATGCTGTAAATTATGTTATGAATGTCATCAATTCAATGTATATGCTTAGGATGTTTATGGCATGAATGAAAGTATATGAGTATGAATGAGAAAGATTAAGCCCATGTTATGTATGTCAAAGAAATAAAAAGAATTAAAGTAAGGAGATATTAAGGGATAAAACGTAGGTCATGGAGCAGTTAGTATCAAGCTTCAGTTTGACCTATCAAATGAATGAGTTAAATCACGAGATTTGGTAGACTTATAGTGCACATCCCAAGATTCAAAATGAGTGGTAAATCACCTCATTTGGATGTGTATACGAAGAGATATGAATTTTCAAAGTTAAGGCGCAGAATCTGGAAAGTCCAGATTTTACCAAATAAACAGTAATCTTAATCCAATAAACTGTACGTTTTCAGTGAGGATGAGTTCAGTTGAATATTTTTCCCTTAAAGGGCATTGAAAGATCTTTTCGTAGAATTTTGGAACACTTCCATACGATTTTTGTAGAATTAGTTATGATTTTTCAAAGTTGGACCTGTAATCTGAAAACTGGACAGTGAACAGTAATATTCCGAAAATTAACATCCAAATTGAAATTTTTAAGTTTAAGACCATCCAAAGTGGTCTGGAATGGGTCTAAATGAATGCTAAGGTACTATATAAGTAAGGTGTGACAGGAGTGATACTCTTCCCTTCTTTTTCCATTAAAACAATTAATAATATTGATTTCAGAGTAAACTTGACCGAATTCTTTCTACCAGTCCATGACTCCGAGAATCTGTCTCCGGGCACCAATATTATTTATTCATCACAGGGAATTTTTTCAATTTTTCTTAAGTCAAAGTCAACCTCTAGACATTTAACTTTGACTTTCCCTAGATAGTATGTAAATAGGCTTTAAATTCTATTAAAGCCAACCTCTTCGCTTTCTGGGGACAACATTATTTTTAAAACCTGTGATAATTCCTCAAGTATTCTCTCCCATTTTTGTCCAATTATTTGAGGTCTCCCTATACTTTAAATAATTCATTTTGATAATATTCAAAATCAGTCAAAACTTAGGAATTCCACAAATTTCTTCCAAGGATATTTTTAGCCTCATACAGGCCCTATTCCCTTTTTTTTTTTTTTGAAATTTTTTTGAAGTATTCAAGCCTTAACCTATCATTTCCTATTTTTTGGGATTTTATTCGGATTTTCGGGCATAATTTCTATTTTTTCCCTTACTAGCCCAAACTTTACAAAATTACAAGTTTGCCCTTGGTTCGGCTTAACCCCATAATTCACCTCATTGAGGCCTCCAACATAAACTTTGACCTATATTTATCCCTATTTCTCATTCCTGGGTCTTGAGATTTCATCTAAGTCTCTAGCTTCCTCTTTTCTCAGTCCCAAAAAACTTTCCCTTTGCGATTTAGTCCCTAGGAATCCCTCTGTCATTCTAGGGAATCTCTAGGACCTCTGCCGAAAAGGGTCTAGTAGCCTACCCATTTCAAACTAATTTTAGTACTTCTAGGCCTAAAATCGGGATGTGACATATAGCAAAATAACTATCATCGCATATAATTTCAAAAAGGAGACTCCAATCAGGGGGAACAATTATGGGAGCAAAAACCAAAGCAGATTCTAATTTATTAAAAGCACTCAAACAAGCATCATCAAAAATAAAAAAGGTATCCTACACAAGAAGGTTAGTAAGAGGTTTAGCAATTTTAGAAAAATCCTAAATGAATCTTCTATAAAAGCTTGCATGACCTAGGAAAATCCTTATGCCTTTCACTGAGGTGGGTAGAGGCATATTTTCAATAATTTTAACCTTTGCCTTATCCATCTCAATTCCTCTTTTAGAAACTTTATGGCCTAGGACTATACCTTCATTCACCATTAAGTGACATTTTTCCTAATTAAGTATAAGGCACGTCTCTTGACATCTCTATAAAAATTTAGAAAGATTAGTCAAACAAAAATCAAAAGTATTACCAAATACAGAGAAATCATCCATAAAAATTTCGATTATATCCTCTATCATATTAGAAAATATAGCCATCATACGTCTTTGGAAAGTAGCAGGGGCATTACATAGCCCAAGGAGCATCCTACAGTAAGCATAAGTACCATAAGGACAAATAAAAGTTGTTTTCTATTGGTCTCCTGGTGCTATTGATATTTGAAAATACCTAGAGTAACCATCTAGAAAACAATAATAATTATGCCCTCTTTCCAACATATTATCCATAAATGGAAGAGGTAAGTTGTTCTTACGTATTGCTTCATTTAATTTTCTACAATCTACACAAACACGCCACCCAGTTACTACTCTTTTGGGGATAAGCTCATTCTTATCATTTTTTACCACAGTTGTACCTCCCTTCTTTGGACTACTTGCACAGGACTCACCCAAGAACTGTCAGAGATAGGATAAATAATACATAAATTAATCAGTTTCAAAACTTCTGCTTTGACTACTTCCTTTATATATGGGTTAAGCCTTCTTTGTTGTTGCACCTTAGGTGTGTAATTTTCCTCCATAAGGATTCTATGCATACAAATAGAGGGGCTGATGCAACCATACCTCGTGGATATCTAATTAACCTATCTGCAAGCTGGAGATTCACGTTGATTGGTTTAATATCTATCATCCCAAGCTTTCTGCATAAAGAATAAGGCATCAAATTAACACTAGCACCTAAATCACATAAATGATTTTCAACAATATTAGAACCAATATCACAAGGAATAGTGAAACTCCCTAGATCTTTCAATTTGGGTGGTAGCTTCTTCTGCATAATTGCACTGCACTCCTCTGTAAGTGGTACTGTGGCATAATCTTTCAACCTTTACTTGTTTGAAACTAGATCCTCAATGTATTTGAGATAAGAAGGCATTCTTGCTAAGGCTTCTATAAAAGGCACATTAATTTGGATATTTCTTAATATCTTAAGAAACCTTTAGAAGCCTAAATCTTGATCTTTCCTTTTTAAGACGTTCAGGATATGGGTTGGGAGGTGCATACCAGATGGAGAAGGACTGCTTTGAATCACATTATTAGCTTTGGGAACTTCAATTAACTCATCATTATCTTCAATATTCTTCCTATCACTTACCTTGTTATAAGTCCTTTTAGCTCCAATGTCAACTTCTTGAAGTTCTTTACCATTCTACAAGGTAACTACCATGACTCCCTCCCTTGGATTGACTTCAGTATTGCTAGGAAATTTGTTTTGATCCTATCCAGTAAGCAAGCTAGCCAAATTACTTATTTGAGCTTTCATGTTTTTCATAGAGTTTCCCATCTGCAACTCTATGTTTCTTATAGAAGCTTGAGTTGATGCAACTGCTTGCTTGAATTGGTCAATTTATTGATTCATGTTCTTCATGTGGTTAGCTTGGTGAGTAGCCATTTAAGCTAAAGCTTCCTCAGAAAACCTGGTAGTGCTTGTGGCCTTTGAGGGATAGAATCTTTCCAAGAGAAATTAGGATCATTTCTCCACCCCAGATTATATGTGTTGGAGTATGGGTCATTCTTGGGATTGGCACCCATATAGTTAGCCTCCTCCATATAATCAACATTATTGCCTGCATAAAGAGAATTATTAATAGCTAAAGTAGAAAGGGAATTAACAAAATAAAATTTTTCACTAATAAATTCAAACTCTTTGTTAAATCCCTTAAGTCAAGAGAGATGTCTGAAGTAGTGACTTTGTTAGCTACCGCCCTCCTTCCTCGAATTGACTTTTGCCTTGAATAGGATGCTAGAGTCTTGTAAATGTCCTCTCTTTCTTTAGTTGTCATGTTATTTGGATCACCATGAGCTGTATTATTGACTTTGCTTTGATTGTCTGATGTGAGCCCATTATAGAAAAAGTCCATTAAGAGTATATGTGGGAATTGATGATGAGGACATTGGCTAATGAGGAGATTATACTGCTCCCATGCTTCATGAAATGACTCATCACCTTGTTGCATGAAGAAGTGAATCTTGTCCCTCAACTCTGAAGTCTGCTGCGGTGAGTAATATTTTAGCATAAACTGCTCGTACATTTGATTCCAAGATGTTATAGAACCTTCTGGTAAGCACAAAAGCCATTGACGAGCACCTCCCTTCATATAGTATGGAAAGTAATGCAACTTCAAATCATCATTTGATAAGCCATTCAACGGCAATGTGTCAATTACTGTATAATACTCCCTTATAAAATCTAAGGCATCTTCAGTTGTATGCCCATTGAAATTAGGTAGTGCATTCAGATGTATATTTTTAAATTCATAATTGTACGCAGCAGGACTTAGCTGAATGCAAGTTGGATTAAAGGTAATAAGGGTGCGTTGAATATCACAGAATGTGATATTTTGCTCTGGAACAATAGCACTATTAGCCATCTCTCTTCTTCGTTGACTTCTATTTTTTGTACAAAACTGTTCAATTTCTAAATTAATAGGAGTCAAAGTAGAGTTACCAGAACTTCTTAATTGCATAAAAATGAAACTTAAAATAAAATAAAGAGAAAAAATAAAAAACAAAAATTAATTAAAAATAAAGAAAAATAAAATTTGAAGAATCAGTAAATCCGTAGCCTCCCCGGCAATGACACTAAAAGCTTGATCACTCCCGCAAGTGTACAGGCTCGATATAGTAAAAATCCTAGAGTAATCTAGGGTTGTGCCCATAGGGAGGTTGCATTTTTACTAATTCAAATAAATAACAATAAGAATAGATGAATTGATTGATGAGATATAATGAAATAATAAATTAAAAGCAGGAGAAAATCAATCATTCAAAGCGTTGGGGTTCAGGATTTACCCTATGAGTTGCTAGTTTCCATCCTTTAAATTGACTCCTTAATTTATTATAGTGACAACTATTCCTAAAATGTCCTAATATTCTCCTGAATTATTAGTCCCTATTTAATTAGAGTTGAATTCGTTCCTACATCACCTAAACAATCAATTAAACCTTGAAGCTATAGTCTTAAGTCACCATAAATATCTAGAACTATCCCTAGCCTAAATATTTATGTCTACTTCTCTAGATCTACTTTCTCTCTTCACCTCCCAGTCCATCAAGATCACCCATAATTTAGATTCAATGGTGGCCAGTCATAAAATCCACATGAAGAATAAGAGAAATAGATATAAAATCAAAATATATTCATAAAAGCCATAAAAAGAGTCAAAACAAACCTGATAAAAACTAGCTTCCCAATTGGGCTACATCCCTACCCCAACTGGGGTATTTAGAAACTCATAATAAAATAAACTATAAACAGTATTGTTTTAAGATCCCCAAACATGACAGAACAAAGGAAGAAGAAAAGAGGAATAAACTGTTGAAGGGTCTAATAGAGGTCCTCTGCTCAGCTAGTATCATAGGATGAACAAAGGTAGTAACTTCGTTGATTCGCTATCACAAATAATGCTCTGTTGCTGCCTCTAGGAATGCTCTCCGATGCTTGCTTTCTTATCCCCAGTTGTTGTATCCCTTGTTCTTATTTATAGTGGTTTTATGTCTTCTCTCCCTTGAATCCACCGCCTTTTATCCATATATCTCCTTCAATATAATATATTATATTATATCATGATGATTTGCCTTGCTTTACATAACTTCCCACCTCTAATCCTCTTAATATATCTATATATATACACAATTATATATATTATATTTGTTGCAATTGTTGTTCCCTTTTTGTTTTATCTTTTATTTGTGATATTTCCTTCTCTCAATAATTTTATGTCTCCTACATTAAAAATAATAAAAGATTTGAGTAGATTTTATGCAAAATCATCTTTTATCCTATAATTGATGAAAGAGAGGAAAATCAACAAAAGATAATTAGATAGGTATAAGATATCCACAAATTTAACCAAATAAATCAAAATATACACCTATTTAATTATAAAATATAGACTTATCACCCCTCCTCCAAGAGCTTTATTGTAGTCCTCCAAACTAGTAAATTTAACCATAAAGAAATAGTTCCTTATATCTATCACTAAAATCAATCCATGCCTCTCCCAAATTCCTTGCAACTTATGCTCAAGTGGTCGTTGGCTTAAATTCCAGCCTAATAGTTTAACTATCAAACTCTTCTCAAAAGCCTTATATAGCTTTCTCTTTCCATCCTTAGAAATCACAAGCTTCATAATCAAGAAATTTCCTTCCGTATGATGAACGATTGTGATCCACAAATTCCTCAACTTCTCATTGCTCAAGCTTCCCTTTTCCCCCCAGTTCCCCCTTTACCTTACTAGCATAAGATCCTCCACTTTCATACTATATTTTGAAACGTCCATCCTTTAACCTCTCAGAGTACGCATTTGGAAGCATTAAAGTTCTGGTGAATCGCGTTGCAAGCCCACAGATTAAAAATCTGCAATTTGTTTTTCAGGTTACTATTCACTTGAAATTTCATATTTTAGATCCGACTTTGAAAAATCATAACTAATTATAGAAAAATTGAATCGAGGTAATTCAAATTTCAATTTGAAGCTCTTTTAACCCTTACCAATTCATACAGTTTATTCATGGAAATTTACTGTTCATTTGGTAAAAACTGTACTTTTCAATTTCTCTGCCCCAAATTTGGTCAAGCATAACTCTTAGCACACACATCCATTTTAAGTGATCTACTACTTGTTTTAAAGCTTAGGATGTGTATTTTAAACATATCAAATTTCACAGGTAGATTCAATCATTTTCTTTCTTTCTATTGTGCCACCGTTTTATGGCTCTTTTTAGGAATGATTTATCCCCTAACTTGTATTAACAATTCATAATTAATTCTTTTCATGCATAATAACATTTTATCTATGCATTAACCATTCCCATATAGCATCATAGCTAATTATACATGTCATAATCATCATTTACCGTCATATAACATCAATGGCACATCTATAACATACATTAGTATACATATTATACAATGTGATATAATATCCTTTGCTTGATCATTATCACCTATTGGGGTTGTTTAAGGGAGAGTTAGATTCAGGGGAATCTCAATAGCAAACGTTACCATTATGCATGTCAGATGGATGCACTTGTATGACATACTTACTTGATCTAGCTCATGCTTACTTATAACATGTTCTCATGCTTAATATTTCACATTAACTTGCATGGCCATAGAAAACATAAATAAAACTAAGCATCATACTAGCATTAGCATCTCATATCATCATTAAACAATATAATGCATATCAACACATAAGCATACACATCAAGCACACAAGAAAGGTAAGTTTACTACCTTTTATCCTTAAGCTTTCTTCTTACTCCTTTTACTTTCCAACCACAAAGATTGCTTGAACAATCTTGCCATTCCCCTTCCTTGGTGTCTCATGACCCTAAATTCGCAATGCATAATAATATCCAATCTATTAAAACCATAAAAAACCATTAACTATCTTAACTCTTAAACTTGTTCTTTAACCTTAAATTTCACTTTCTTTTCCATAGCCTTTAAAATCATTCCCTTAGTCATTTTCTACATAATTTTTCATGAGAAATCCAAATATAGTTTGGATTTAACAAAATCCAACTCCTTCCCTCATTTCTTGTGTTGGTCGAATGGGATGCACTTAAGGTCCAAAAATTTCATTTTCAATTCTAATGCTTCCAAACTTGTTTTCTCACTTTTACCCCACATACTTTTTCATTCTAAACTCATTGGAAGCATCAAAATCATCAAAATCCAACCCTAAGGCATAAATTTAGCTTTGCTAAATAGTCTCCTCATGTTGCACAATCATGAAATTCAACCAATTTCAACATAAAACCACTCTCATTCTTTTCAAGCCTTTAAACATTATTCTAACATCAATTTCATCTTCCCCTTCACTTAGGAATTTCATGCAGCATACCCTTAAGAGTTTAAAGCTCCTAAAAACCATTAAAACCTATAACCAAGCTCAACAATAACAAGGGTAATGAAAACTACATCAAAAACTATGAACATACCTTATTTTGAGAGCTTGCTCTTACATGGAGTTACTTGGTTTTTCTCTTCCCCTTCCTCTTTCTCTCTTTAGAATTCATTTTGCAAGAGTTTCCCCTTAGTTTTCATAAGCTTGGATGAAAATGAGGGGAGGGAGGGGAATTTATAGACTTCAAGAACAAATTCTAGCTATTGTTCTTGAAATCGCAAGATTAAATCTTGGCCATTCATTTTTCCTCTTAATCTTGTGATGACATATGTCCTTATGACATCATGCTCATATCATATTGATGACATCATGCTTACATAATGTGCAGTGTGTCTCTCTTTTATTTCATCTTCTATGTCAACCGTACACGTGTCTTTCATCTAACCGTACACATGTCTTTCATCTAACCATACATATAATCTCTTGTATGTCCCTTCATCATTTTGCCATTAAAATAGGGAGGAAATTAATAAAAAATTTGTGTAAAATGTAGCACCTAGGTATTCCTCCACCTATCTTCTCATTCTGTACCATATCAGGTACTTTTTTGGGTCCTGACTTACCCTGGTATCACTGGGACATGTTCTAACACCCTTTTCTCATCTCAAATAAATCCACATATGGTGCCATCTTAGAGGAGCATAGAAGAACTACTTAGCCTTATTGAGTCACGCGGTAGAGATTTTGTTGTCATAGGTAGATAAAGGAATGTCTCAAACGTACTCGTACTATGTTCTGATTTTTCTACTGTCTATAAATATCCTATGGTGACTTAGCATGATGATTCGTAGGCTCGTTAATGGTGTCATGACTCATATGCTGACTCAGCGTGCTAACTGATATACTGACTTAGCGCTTTCATAAATGCGTCATCATTACCTTTAGAAATTTTGTCTCTTTTTTGTGGTCATCATTTGTTGGGCTTATTTAAAACAATCCAGAGCTCCAAAAATTCATCTGTCTATACCATAAAATTTCTTAAATTTTGGAGAAAATTTGTGAATTTTGTCGAGCCATAACTCGATCCACAAGTATTTATGTTTGAATTTCCTGTAAAATGCCCTTAA